CTGAACCGCCGCGAGGGCAGTGCCCGCCACATGATGGCGCCAGTGATGTCCTATGTGGACCCCGACCAGCTGTGGTCGCCCTGCAGCGCCCGCTTCATCACGGATTTCTTGGACAACGGCCACGGTAAGGACCCTCCGGGAGCCTGGAGCCATGACACGGCTGGCCGGAGCCAGGCACAGCGTGGGCAGGGCCTGGGCAAGCTTCTCCAAAGCTGCAATGCCAGTGCCACTCAATCTAGACCGGCAGCCCCTTGCTGGCCCAGCCTGAACTCCCCTCTCCCAGCTCTGCCCTTGCCCCTTCCTCATGACCTGCAGCACTTTGCTGGCCCAGTCCGGAGCTCCACTCCCCCAGCTGTGCTCTTGCCCCCTCGCTCCCAGCCTTGTGCCCCCCACCATGTGTACAGCCCCTTGGCCAGCCCATGTCAGCAGGGGCAAACACCTGTGCACAAGGAACTGGGCTGAGACCTTTCCCTGGCAGCCCTGGGCCCAGCAGCTGCTGTGGCAGTCAGGCTAGAGCTGAGCCAGCCCTAGGAGGGGCGTCTCTGCCCAGGCACATTCTGCTGCCCAGCAGGGGTTTGGGTTATAATTCTGCAGAGAAAAACACATCCAATATTAAACTAGTACTCTATTGGATTGGAGCCAATGGTCTCTCATCTCACCTTTTAACAGCTGAATCTGGAAAGCTTTTCAGAGCATACATCTGTATTTCTAATTTGCACTTTGAAGGGTGAAATGGACTCACAAAATGGTGAGAACAAATAAATTGATTCACAGTGGGTTGACAACTCCCTGTGTCGTGCTGCCCCCCGCCACTGCCCCAACCTGAATCCGCCCTGCTCCTCCCTGTGGTGCACGGGCAAGATCAATGGGCAGTTTATGTGCCAGACCAAGCACTTCCCCTGGGCGGATGGCACGGCCTGTGGGCAGGGCAAGACCTGCATGAGCGGGCGCTGCATCAGCAAAGGGGAGATGAAAGCCTTCAACGTGAGTATGCTGCTGCCCCGGGGGCAGGAAGGGGCATGGGGGCACCAGAGGTGGGGGAGGGTTGAGGACTGGCAGAGCGAGGAGGTA